GCTTGTCCCGCTGACAAACCTGACAGGTCTCTACGTACTTCTTTGCGTCATCAAACATTCCTGGCCACCAAAGTCGTTGTACTAGGTTAGCACTCGTCTTCTTGTAGCCAAAGTGTCCAGTTGCGTCATGGCATTCTCCTAAGAATAAACTACGCAAAGGTTCACTAGATGGAACTACTAATCTTTTTATTCTGGCCTTATCAAGATAGAGGAGCCCGTCCACCGTTACAAACTCGTTTTTCGTGGCCCTGTCTTTTGCCTGAAGCTTGCGAATGATGTCCATCGTGACAGGGTCTTCTTGATAGGCTCCCACCAATGATTGAGTTACTTCTTCAGATACGCCAAAGTCAGAAACTAGCGCACCTAGGTAATCTGCTCTACGTGATAGCGTATCAACAACCTTGTTATACTCTCCCTTCAGGTACTCAAGCTTGAAGTCATATTGGTCTATGACCTCAATCCATCGCTTGAGTGCGTTAGAAAGAGTCGGTTGAGTCTTGATCCATTTGAGGGTCTGATGATCAGTCCTCAAGTGCTTTTTATAGAGCATAGAGTTCCCTTTCGTAGGTGGACTTTGCCAACTTTTTTGATGGCATCTTCTTGGTCATATACTCAATCGGTCTCAACTTTTTCCCATCTTGTTGAGTCAGCACTGCGCGAATGCCGTATTGGCTTGCGTCAGTGGTCACTTTGAATGGCTTCTTAGGATCGGGAACCATGAGGACCTCATGATTCATGAGTGCATGCTTCAATCTCTTGAAAGCACCCTCGCACTCATCACTTCAGTCCCACGGCGTGTCAAGTCGAGTTAGATCAGTCAAAGGAGAGGCAACTGTAGAATAGTTCTTAACGAAGTTCGTATAGTAGCCGCACATTCCTAAGAATGATCTTACCTCAGTGACTGTCTGAAGTCGTGGCCAGTCTCGAATACTAGCCACCTTCGCATCTTCCGGCCTAATCCCTTCCACGGATACTTCATGACCCAAGTATAGTATCTTAGTGCGGCCAAACTCGCACTTCTCTAAGTTGACCTTATACTTGTGCTGTCGCAGGAGTGAGAGTACCTTCTCAACATGTTGTGCGTGCTCCTCGGCAGACTTACTAAGGATCAGAATGTCGTCTAAGTAGACCACGACAAACTTATCTAAATGGTCATGGAAAATCCGATTCATAGCGTGCTAGAATGTTCCCGGCGCATTGCAAAGACCAAAGGGCATCACTACAAACTCATACAGACCATAACGTGTCTGGAAAGTTGTCTTGTGTTGGTCCTCAGGTCTTATAGCGATCTGATGATAGCCGGATTTCAAGTCTATCTTTGTGTAGTACTTGCATCCCTGCACCCTATCCAATAGGTCGTTTATGCGAGGTAGAGGCTCTGCGTTCTTCACAGTGATGGCATTGAGGCCTCTATAATCAAGGCACATCCTCAATGTACCCCTTTTATTTGGTACGAATAGAACGGGTGATCCGTAAGGGGAAGTACTAGGCCGAATCCAACCCTTCTCTGTCAGCTCCTTAAGCTGTTTCTGAAGTTCATCTAACTCGGCGGGGGCCATCCTATAGATCCTTCCTTTTGGGGTCTTACTCCCTGGAATGATTTCTATAGCGTGGACGGCTTCCCTTTCAACAACTCCTGTGGGCTCTTCAAACAGATCAGGGAACTTGGCAACAACGCGTTCTGTCTCTGGGGGTGTTTTAACGGCCTCCCCCTTCTCAGAGACGTAAACAAGTTACATACCCTCCTCTTGGTTCTGCTCATAGTAGTTGTAGAACGCTGATGCGCACAAGCAGCCATAGGTATCTATAATACTACTGGCCTTGAACTTAGTCAATCTGACAATTCGGCCATCGGGCAACTTATGCTTGAGCACCTTCTCCGAGTCGAACTGGGGTTTAGCAACTTCGAGGTAGTACATGCCTAACAACATTTCGAATGGCAAGTCGTCGCTAACCAAGAACGAGATCTTATGGTTAAGCTCACCTCCTCCATAGGAGAAGGTACAGACTACGTCCTTGATGTAGTCTGTTACGATTATGTGCTCCTTGTTGGCCAAAGTAGATGCTACTGGTCTACTAAGGTGTCGTACCCGGTCCTGTAGGTGCAGCCTTTCCAAACAGTCGCGACTTATGTTATTCTGTGTGGATGCGATGTCTATAAAGGCACCACATTTGCGGCCTCCTACATCCACTTCCACCACGAAATGTTCCCCTCTAGGACCTTTCTTTAGTGCCACCCAAGACTCGCGAGGGTCCTTGTTTGACCACTCACCTTCTAAGTCTTCTAAGGCCTCAGACACATCTAACGTACACAACATAGTTTGGTCTAAATGTGTCTGCGGGGTGGCTAAGGAGTCATTAGCTTCGGCCTTGTCATGAAGTGGGGAGGGTATCAAGCCCACGTCATCTTGAGTAGAAGCCGCTAAAACTTCCACTAGCCTCACGCGTTTCCCGAGCTTGAAGCCTGGGAATAAGATGCCCCCATCTTTGGAGGTATCTTTTGCGTAAACTTTGCGTTTTGGTACTTGTATTGCGAGTGTCCGTATTCCCCGCAATTGATACAAGCGCCACGCACTCGGCGGTCACGCCACACGTCTTGGTCAAGACCTGCCTTCACCCATTCAGCCTGCTTGGTCTGATTGGAGGCGGCCTTTCCCTGACTCCTAGGTTGGCCCTTCCCTCGGCCACCTGCTTTAGTCTTGACTACCGCGGCGAGGGTGCTACCCTCAGCTACCTCCTCGTCGTCAAACTCTGTATAGTCCATCAGGTCAGTGAGCTCGTCGATCTCCGTTTGAGTCTCATCGGACTCAACCATCATCAACTTAGCCCCCTTCTTCTTCCACTCCTGAGGACTCTTCTTCTTCTTCGTGTCAATCTGAGAGGTAGGTTGAGCATTGCCTAGCGTGGCCTCCAAATCTAAGGCTTTCCTAGACAGTGTCTCAAGCGAGTGGTACTCAGTGCGTGCCTCGCTGGCCAGTAAGTTCTTGATGTTCTCTGGTAAACATCTAACAAACGTAGTTAACAGGAACTGGTCACTGTAGTTGATGCCTGGGACGAGGATTAGGCTCTCGACGGTAGTCGTAAGCTCTCTGACCGACTTGAACTTTCGTTGGTCCAGCTTGTTAATCGCATCAGTGGCTCTTTGTGCCTCCTGTGGATTATGCCATCGAGCTTCTACCATTTCCATGAACTGGTTTAACGTCAGAGACTTAGCCCAATTTGCCATGCGTCGCCCATACCCGGCCTTTACAACTACCCCATCTAGCCACTTGGCTGCCTTACCCTCTAGGTAAGATGCACCGGTAACCAGTTCGTCCTCTAGCAAGGTCCTCTTGGCCTTTACCCAAACCGGAACTGTCCTCAACCGTGTGTTGAGTTCTTCGTCCTTCCTCTCGCCTGAGAAGGCAAGAGGCGGTTTCATTGGGGTCTTAGGATACCATTGACCCTGCGGGTGTCCCTGTTGAGAAACAGGTTGTTGCGGTGATGTAGCTCCCACCGCTGGACCCGAAGAAGAAGATGCAACAGTTTGTGCAACTGCTGCAGACGTACCACTTGGCTGTGTTCCAGCTTGTGCGGAAAAGGGGCCTGACATCGCCGACAACGGCAACGGCGATTGTGCTGGTGGCCTGAATCCTGGCCTTGTCAATACATCCAGGATCTGGTCTAGAGTGCTCTGCACGAAGTCTAATCTGCTGTCCACGTGCGCATGCAGCGACAGCATATTCTTCTTCAACACTTTCATGGGCTTATTCATTCCAGAGTCGTCCGAGCCCTCTAACTCAGCCTTGTCAGCCACTAACGTATCAAGCCTGGCCGCTCTATTCTTTATCTCTCTTTCTCTGTCGGTAGCTTCTTTCAGATCCTTTTCTAACTGTGCACAAATCCTTTCGACCTGTTGGAGCTCCCTGAGTTCCCTCTCACGTGGGGTCAGCGGGCTGAACTGCGAGCCCGCCATCTGACTAGTAGACTGTCGAGAACCCATTGAACTGGAAGTGCTCGTGGAACTTGTTGGCATTCCCAACAAAGTCCCTGACAAAGTCGCAGAGGATGCTGCTGAGCTAGTCATGGCTGCTGCCCTAGCTGCTGCGGCAGCCTGTTCCCTAGCTGCAGCGTTTAGTGTGGCCCTAGCTGCTGCTAGTGCACGGGCTCTACGTTCGGCTATAGGCCGTCTTTCTTCTCCCGGTTGTAGGGCCTGGAACACGTGCGGTACCCTTAGTGCTTCCGCACATGTCAGCCTCCTATTGTCAGCTCTACCCTCCACAGGATCTGAACCACTCATCAGTTAGACAGACAATATCTGCACTAGAATCCCCTAGTGGAATCCTACCGCAGCATATGTCTGACCGGCACCTAATTTTCTAAAAATGGTTGTGTCCGGCAAGTCCCCTACTGTACCGATTCAAGTGGCATGTCTACAACATTCACACAGATTGTCTACATAGTCTAGATGTACTCTGATTGGTTCACTTACAGCCAGCATTATAGAGAACTGGATATGGTAGCATACTACGTACCTAATCTAATCTGTCTGTGAGGTGTTAGCAGTCTGTCCACCAACTAATCAAAAGTACAAAAAGACAATGTAGCAGATGCATGATGAGTGGGTATGGTTGTGTATTCAGTTGAGCACCAATTAGAACCTACCCTCCCCTCCATCCAACATACCGAACATCATCATTGAGCAGGCAGTGTCTTCGTGTGTATTCCGGCGCACCCCTGTGCCCAAGTCGTTACCGAGCAAGCCAGCCCAACCACTCTTATTTACCCTCGTACGGCGATGAGCCTTCCTGTCCATGTGATCTGACTGATCAGGAGGAATTTATAGAGCGCCCCCATCTCTGCAGGAATTATTTAACGTCGCAGTCAGGACGACGATCACAGCCAGATTCACAATGAACTCCCAACCACAAATGTTTATAGACGGTCTGGTAAGCGTCTGTCATGGGCTGGCACACCCGGCAGGACTTCTATTTAGCGCAGCAAGTGCAAAATGGACAGCAGCCATCACATGCGTGACCTACTCCCATTGGGTTGGCATGGTGACCGTGACCCAGTGCTTCGACCAGGGCCCTTCAGGGGCACCGCCCTTTCTCCTTCCAGATGCTTCCGGGAAGATTGTCGTCTCTCAAGGTAGCGCGCTCACGACACCTTACCAAAAGAGAGGACTCTCAAGTTGGACTCACTTCCTCACGCTAAGAAGAGATTGAGAGAGTAGATAAGGTAAGGGAACAACGTACCTGGAGATAGCTGGCCCCAACCACAGATTTCTCACCAATTGAGCTGAGTGTGCATTTGATGACCGGTCTTGGCCTCGACACAATGCAGTAACACCTCAGCCGAATGCCACATCAGCATGCTCTCATCACCAATCATACATTCCGCATGTCACCACAGCATACACTGCCGTCTTAGCCTTCCGGCGCACCCCTCTGTACCCAGGGTGTGCGACTATATATGGCCCGACGTCACAAGTACCAACTGCGAAGAAGCATCGTCAACGCACCAAGTCTGTATAACGCCAGCGTGCCAGAGGTAAGTGGCGATCAAACCAGCTCCGATACCAAATTGCAAGGAACATGAATATGGACGAAGCACAGAAATCCAGAAAGCAAAATCACACTGAAGTCCCAGTAGTCAAAGCCAAAGCAGATAGCACAATGGAACCGAGTAACCATCCAATTGAGAATGATACAGAAGAATCGTGAGTCAATGTCCATGCCCAACAGGGCAACACCAACAGCATAACCCAAATSTAGCTCTCTCTTGTGAATGGCGCCAGGCGCCCTATCTACTCTACAGCCTAGCCTACAACTACARCAATGAAAGCAACCAGACAACTTGACTACMAGCGRGTGATGATGTSAAYACCAATGCCGACCTCCACCTCCACCAGGTACGTGTCCTYTTCACCCACACTCTCCCTTGTACCCACACAGCGCCCTTCACCTCSGAAGAACCACCYTCGCCCKTCACCCCTCTGCGCACACAGGCAGCCCGRCTATGGCCGCCAGCGCCCTGCGCCCACAGGCAGCGCCCTACCGCCTAGCGCTGTCCTGCTTCCCTCAGCCYTAGCGCAGCGCAGCATGCATGCAACGCAGCAGCGTGCCGGCCTTGCTCGCAATGGCCAAGATCCCTGCCCACTCGCMCTGCTTGCCTATATGCCAGTGCAGCGTGTGGGCGGCCTCCCTTCAGCCTGCGACCRGGCCCCAGAGGCTGAACCCAGCCCTATACAGTTGAGGCCCGGGGGATGCAGTTGCACCTCTTKCGKCAAGGCCTGCGRMCAGATTCAGATWGTGGGCCGATTTCCCTTTGGCATTTTCGGCCTCTATACCCMGCATGCATTGTCGGCCTCACGTTCAAGTACCCAGGGCCTAACTAACTCAGAGGCCCTGGGTTTTCAGCATTTGCTGAAATCCGAGACTCCGTGCACTCCAACCAACTGGCGTGCTGCAACTGTATGGACCCCACTTCGTGAAATGTTGGCACAGAGGTCTCTTGTTGATTTGCTGCCCACCTTCACTTAGGGCGGGCACGAGGCTTGCTGGGGCCTTAGCCCAGAACATGTACATCATGGCAAGGGCCCTACTTGAGGGCTCAATCCTCTCAGAAGATTAGCATGGCCCCTGCGCAAGGATGACACACATAAATCGAAAAATGGTCCAAATTAAATTAAAAAAAAAAATTGTTCAATGCTCAAGGGCTGGGGTGTCTGAGGAATCTGGGGAGAACAAAGTCTCAGGTCTGTAACAAAGTGTCAAAATGCGCAAAATGTCTTGAGGAAGGTCTTCGAAGGTCTTGATCAGGTCCACGATAGGTGAGAGAACCGGTCTTCAGCGTTTGCAACAGGTAGTTGTCGAATGTCCAAGCTGCGGGAAAACGAAGTAGGAGTACAAGTGTCCAAAGTCCAACTGCTGGAGTACATCCGGTTCATGAACTGCAAGGAGGTCTGATCCTGTAGCAAGGAAATCACAGACTGATGCAAGGGTCCAGATGCCGGCCAAGGAAACAGTGTGGTGGCCAAACCAGCAGTGCAGTAACTCTGTTCAGAAGTAGCCTGGGGCCCAGAACTCAGCCCCAGGCAACGCAGACCTGAGTTGGTTTGCGCTGGGCTGTGTGACCAAGACACGGCCAGGCCTGAGTCTGTCACATTTGGCTGTGCGACCGAACGCTGCATGGTGGCTGGCTTGCACCTGTCTTCTTGGCATGCTGACGTGGCAGCTGCTATGCGCCGTTGCTGACGTGGCTGCTGCCACGTGTACTACTGGTTGACGAGGGAAGCTATGTGACTTGTGTTGCTGTTCTGATTATTGTCATTTAGGAGGAGATCAAGACTGTGGAGAGATCGTGGATACTTACCTGGTTGTCTTCATGTCGACATTGCTCCATCGCTGATGAGGGACTGACTAGAAGTGCCACGTGGCACATTGAGGTTACTTCAGATGCTCGTTCAGATTATTGATTATTGAGGCGGTGATCGCAGAGGGAGCCCGAAGAAGCGGTGGGCATTTTCTTCCCCACTCTAAGTCTTTCCTCCCTCTCATCTATCTCATTTCTGTATGTCTTCTCTTCTCTTGGGTATCTGGACACGAATATGATTATTGATAATCATCAGCTGGTTGACACTCGTTTGGACTTGCATTGTTGACAACTGTCTTCACGATCTGGGTTCATTGCAATTTTGTATCTGAGCAGTTCTCTTGACGACGACGACAGTCCCACGTGCGCACGCGCGCCAGGTGGCGCAGGTAAGTGGGCATGCACACGTGTGCTGAGGTAGTGATGACTTGACAAGAAGTTACCGCTGGAGTTGCTGACATGGTAGAGACTTCACTGGCGAGAGAAGATCCTAACGTGGCAGTAGGGACCGCGGCCGAGAGTTACCGCATGCCAGCCTGGATCGCAATAGTGAAGTGGCATCGCGATCCCTTGCTGACATGGCATATCATGTGCCGCGTCTGAAGACCTGGTTGTTGGTGATTGCTGACGTGGCATTCTCACGCTGCATTAGCAGCTTATGTGCGACCAGAGGTCTGTTACAGAAGCTGACGTGGCCTTTTGGGAAGTCAGGACTGATTGCTGACGTGGCAGGGGAGAAGTCATTACACGTCTTCTTGAGGTGTTGACTTTCTGCTGACGTGGCATCGGTCTCCATTGGCTGACGTGGCATTGTCCAATTGGCTGGAACAACGACGGTATCACGACATGACACATGGAAGTGGCACGTGAAAAGGGCAGTGCACACATTTGCTGATGTGGCATCCCTTTATTGATTGACTGGACACTAGTGCTTACGTGGCAGGATCTGCTATGTTAGCACTCCAGGGATGACACATGGCAGGCAGGTGGCTGCCAAGAGCACTCGGAAGACGACGGTGGTACGGCTGATTGAACGACTAACGAGACAGCTGTAGTGCGAACTGTCTTGAGGGGTGCAACAACGCACTGACACCAGGACGACACAGAGGAAAGAAGAAGAAGATTGCTGACAACTGTTTGCTGTTGATGTTGGCATACTTACCTTGTCGTTTGCTGTGTTGTGGTGCTGTGTGTACTTGTGTGTTGTATCTGATCACACGGGCCTGATGTGGTACCTGTACACTCCCGAATACGACGTCATCACACAGACAGACAAAGAACAACAAAAGTTAGAAGTAGAAATAGTTGTATGTTGTTGATGTTGGCATACTTACCTTGTCGTTTGCTGTGTTGTGGTGTTGTGTGTACTTGTGTGTTGTATCTGATCACACGGGCCTGACGTGGTACCTGTACACTCCCGAATACGACGTCATCACACAGACAGACAAAGAACAACAAAAGTTAGAAGTAGAAATAGTTGTAATTATTTTCTCCTTCGGTCATCGAAATCCTTTCTGCTGTAGAATAGTGCGGCTGTGAAATTTATTATTGTTTATTAATTATTTATTGTGCGGCAGACGCACATCACAATGTCTCATTTCTGGAATTGTTTGAAACTATCGGTGCTCACCCGTTTTATTCCTTTCCCCTTCTACCCCGTCTTGCTCATCTTCAGCGTTAATGAGGAGACGCCCGATCCACGAACAAGGCAACAAGTGGATGAACGCAAGAAAGTAGTGTCTAGCCGTTTGGACCAATTTGAGTCTGAACTTCGTGGCGTCGGTCCGGAAGTTGAGTCCCATGTACGGACACTGTTTGATTTGAGAGCATTGGGAACTGTTCTCGAATCAGCAGAGACCGGTACCGACGTCATCCAAGTTTAGGATACACTTATCAAGTGTCATCATGCACTTGATAAGTTTGTCCTCGAGCAACTTGCAGAGATCAAAGGTAGAAGGGAGGAGAAGAAAACAGTTGTGTCTGAAGAAGCCGTGGACGAAAATATCAGACAATTGGAACAAGCACTTGAGAGGGAAAAGTTTAGGAAGGAAGAAATGATGCAAAGAAGAGAGAAGAACGAACAACAAGCATAAAAAGTTCAAGAAATCAGACAAACTGTCATTCGGACGGAAGGAGAAGAACAGGCAATCTCTTTGGCTCAACTTGTGACTTACCTCGCTCATTTGGAGATGAAGATTGATCAGACTGTTGCACGGATTGATGATGTGGCCGCGGGATTACAGATAATCACGAACCTGGTCAAAGGAAAGCAACAAGTGACAGAGAAAGTTGAAAAAGGAAAGGAAGAGAAGCCGAAGAAATTGCTGGGAGACGCAACGAAGTCTCTCCAGGTAGAGACACAGAAACCAGAAGAGAAAAAGGGGGAGCCTTCGGGTCTGCCGAAGTCTCCTGGAGGAAGCAAAGTCACCACCTCACAACTTGAGAAACCCAAGAAGAAGGAGAAAGTAAAAATGAAATTGCCTTTCACGTTCTGCAACAATAAAGACGGAAATTTATTGTTGTGGATCGCCGAGATACAAACGTACTGCGGGACGGCCCCTGTTGAACCCCAATCCCAGGTTGCTTTTTCTACCTCTTGTCTCGGGGGGAAGCGGAGGAATGGGTTTTGGCCGAAGCCAGTGAGGCGGGATTCGATGACATTGGGGAATGGGCTGGGACATTGACTCTGAAACAGTTCCTTGGTAAGATCAAGGAACGCTTCTTGGACAAGACAACGGCCGATAAGGTCTTTGACCAGCTCACCACGATTGGTCAGAAACATTGAACCTCTGTGGAATCCTTGTCTAGGGAAGTTGACCGGTTGCTCCAAGTTCCTGGATTGAACCTGCAAGACAACCAAGTTTTGTACATCTACTCCCACGCTCTGCCCGAGCCCATTCGCGGACAACTTGTGGCAAAGTCAAAATCCAGCAAGTATAATTATAGGCAGTTTC